TCTTTAGAGATCAGCTTCTTTAACCGTTTTATAACATATTTTTGTACATATTATGACAATAAATACTTGTACTGAAAAGTGATTCTTTGTATAAAAAATGCTCTTGATTTTTTATGTTCGTGAAAAAGTGTTTATTTTGTTTAATTCATAAAAATTATTAAATATTTTGAAGATACAGATAAATTATCAAATTTCATAATAAGATTGATACATTTAGCAATTATTTTCACAATTTTTTTTTTTTTAAAAAAAATTGAAGTGAAGAGAGGGCCTGATGATTCATCTATGCCCTTAAGAAAACCTAATAATAACTCCTAATTTACTAAGGTGGAAATTTTTCTACAGAACAAAATTAAGTGCAGTGTCTGGATTGAGTTTAAATTTTTCTACAGAACAAAATTAAGTGCAGTGTCTGGATTGAGTTTTCCCATTTATTTCTGAAAGTTGCAGTTAGAAACTGTACTAAAACAACTATATATGAAATTCCCAAAAAGAAATGCACAACAAAAAGTAGCTTTTTAACCAAAGTGCTTCCTAAATAAACACAAAAAGCACTTACCCACATAAACTGGGTGTAAAAAAATAAATTAAAATAAAATTTTGAAATCTCAAAAAGCCCATCCCCTGTTCTTTCAAATCTTTGTGATTTTACTCACAGTCATAGTCAGTATCATTTCAATAGTAGTAGTACATCACCTTTTCCTCTGTCTTGCTTTCCTCAAACAAGAAGCTGTTACAACTTTCACGATTATTATTATTACTGCTAGTTAGCCCTTTGATTTCCTCTAATCCATAGTCTAATGCAGCTTCTGAAGAACTCCATAACCCATTTCTCTGCTCCTCATCTTCAACTCCATTACTGTACCAGCTGATATTCTGCTGCTCTACCCCATGGCTGATCATCTTGTTGCTGCTACTCCCATCAGACGAGCTGCAAGCACTTGCTTGATCTCTTCCCACCATGACAACACTCTCATTGACTTGATAGTTAAAACTAATTGTCTCCTGCACTGGGTGGAGAGAATTTAGAAGAGTTGATGAAGAATATGAGATGGGTTCAAGGCCGGTTGTAAGAGAAGTTGCAGGTGGTGCAGGAATGTAATAAGTCGGGTTACTGTTACTAGGGTTGTAAGAGAGTGATGAGGATGAAGATGATGGAGATGAGAAGGTGGAATCAGGCTGAGGGTAGCTTAATGGGTTTGCAGCAACCATGGCCATGAGCTTCTTCTTGAGCTTTGTGTTCCAGTAGTTCTTGATATCATTGTCAGTCCTGCCAGGTAACTGAGCTGCTATTATTGACCACCTGCACTTTGACGCAATAAATTTGGATTATTTGGGAAGAAATTACAACTAGATTTCTCTTTTTAATTCACTGTTAAACACAGATCTGCACTTGACATAGATGGAAAAATTAATGAATATCTATCCATCGGTCTGTATGTAAAAGTAGAATAATATCTTGCAACATGGAGATCAGAAGCAGGCCGGATACTTTGAAATCTCACTATTTTCATTTGGAGAAAAAGTAAGAGAAGAAAAAGTTTCCGCATTTGTCTACTTAGTCAAATAATTTATTCAACAAGAAATTACAAATTAATGCTTAAAGTAGATGTATATGTACATGTGCAAAAGCAAATTTTGGAAACCCAGATCAAGTTTTAATATTATAATATATGCAAGAGGAATGGAAAATTACAAGATATATAGATTATATATAGATGTATTTACCTGCTTCCGATGTTTGCAAAGAGGCTGCAAATGATTCTATCTTCATCATCAGTGAATTCTCCATGTTTAATGTTGGGTCTCAGATAATTAAGCCATCTCAGTCTGCAGCTTTTCCCACATCTTTTAAGACCTGACACGCAAACGAAAACGATATACACACATACATATATATATATATATACACACACACTCAAGAAGAAGAAGAAGAAGACGTTCCATGAAATCTTCATCTTCTTCTTCTTCCCAGAAAAAGGAAAAATAGAAGAGAAAGAAAAAGTGTTAAAAATTAAATATACCAGCTTTCTGAGGAAGAGAAATCCAATTGCCGCCAGTTCCATTTTTCTCTATATACTCCTTAAGTTTTGCATCTTCTTCAGGTGACCATGGTCCTTTCTTTACGTTTGCTTTGTCACAACAAGGAGCTCTTCCCATATTTCTCAGTCTGATTTAATTTTGTTCTTGTCAGATTGATAAATTCTGAAGAGATAAGATTTGGGTATTTGTTTCATTCAAAAAAATAAAGAGTTTCTGGTTTTGGAATTGGGAGAGAGAAGTTAGAGGAGAGAGATATTTATTGAGGAAGAGAGATAGTAGAAGTCAAAGACAGGCCTTCAAATTTCAATCATCAGTTTTTCTACCTTACTTTCCTCTTTCTTTATCACTATCTGCAGAAGTTTCCATCTTATATAAACATATATGTGTTTATATATATAAGTCAGTTAATAGGGAAGCTTCTGTCCTTTAATGACATTTTCATTTTCTTTTCTGTTTTTTCTTATATTTTATTTAATTATATGATAATCAAGAAACACATATTACGAGTTTGGAGAGCTTAATTAATGTAATTAGCTAATTTTAAATTTATGTTAAAAAATTATAAAATCATAAAATGTATCAACTATTTTTATAAAATTTATCAAATCATCTATCATCTTCTTAAAATAACTTATAATTATGTAATTTATATTTCTATTTATCTTTATAAAAGTGTATGTTTGAGTTTGGATTACATGTTTTTTTTTTTTTTTTTTTTCTTTAAAAAAAAGTAATTATATTATTGGGTAGTGTTTACATGTTCTTAAAATAACAAAATATATAAATTTTTATTAAAAATTTTATAATTAATTCTTAATTCTTGTACCAACAGAATCCAAAGTAGTGCAATACAAAACTCTCTCTATCTTTTTCATTTTTTAAAAATTCCCATATAAAATATAGTCCAAGTCATACACCATACAAGTACAACCTATATGTCAAATAAATTAATTACTTGAATCCTTATACGATGTATGTCTTTCAATATATGCTTATACTTATACGAATTATTTTACATGTATGTACATTTAAGAATATATAAATATATATATATATATATATATGCGCATTCATATGCATACGATATATGTATTGCATATACAAACATGTAGATTAAAAAATTGTTAGATATTATATTGATATATATAGCGAGAGCACCCTCATGCATTATTATATTTTTATTGAGAAGCTCATGCATTATTATTATAATTAAACTAATTGCATGATTCATGGGGCGAATATTATATCCATTAATATGAGACTACTTTTTATCAGACTTAACCATCAATGGATCATCGTGGGGTACCAAGCTTGTAATGCTTTGCTAGATGCGTTCATATGACATGATCATGTGTGTGTGTGTGTGTGTATATGCATATACCTAAATATTTCTTACTCATGTGTACCAGTCTCTTGATTAATTACCAGTTCGGCCTCAATATTATAGTTGGCTCGCCTTGATTTCAATTAATTTATTTTATTTAATCACTTCACTTTTAAATTGAAGTTATTTAATATATATCAACTTGTTAGAATTTACATATTTAATGAATAATTAAATTAAAAATTCACTTAATTTTTTATTCTACATTCATAAATGGTCTTGAAGTTAGACTACAATCATGAATTACACTCACAATTATCCAACAAAAAATCACGAAATATCTAATTTGAAGTTGACTTAAAATTACAATTGAGTTAATTTTCTTGGTGTTATATTCTTAACGCAAATGTTAAAAGTGGGGTTATTGCTATTGTGTTGCATAGATGTGAGATCATATTTCGAAAACCAAACCAAATGTCTGAAAGTTTTTAATAAA